ATAAATATTAAAAGTAGTTTTATTAAAAATATTTTAATAATCTCAATATCTGAATTGTAAAAAAAAATCCAATTTATTTTAAAATAAACACTTTTATATAAATCATTTCAGAAAAAATTTCATTTTTTAAAAAGAATTTCTTAGTATGTTAAGCTGCATCAAAAATAGTTTTCCTAAAATTTATTTTTATTTATGTAATTCGTGCACTAGGACTATCAGTTTTAGCCCAATTGACTTAAATGGTTTATGTACTATTCCTTCTCTTATACATTTGAGACATGTTAAAAAAAAAATCATAATTCATTAATTCTACAAAAACATTCACTTAAATAACATTAGTAAACAAATTCAATGTTAATTAAGTTTTGGTTTGAGATTGTTGTATGATGTTAGCGTCATGTACCATACCGAGCTGTGGCTAAAAGTTATATTAAGATAAATATTAATATTTGTGTAACAATTAATTTTTAAAAAAATTAGCATAACTTTGTAATTACAAAATTGGGAAATGTTTATCAACTTGAAATGGTGAAAATGTGTTAATTTTAACCATCATAACCTCGTGATAAATGATACCCCTGTGGAGGGATTAGTTCTTAAGACCATGGTTGTTGCATTAACAGAACATCAAGACACCTAAATAAAATGAGTAAAAATTTATTTACGCACCTAAATAAAATGAATACAAATTTATTTATACAAAATTTTAATTATTTATCTTTTTAATTTCAATAATTGAGATTTGTTTACATTTATTAAGGATAATTATCATTTTTATCTAAAAAGTCATACTAAATTTAAAATAAAAAGATAAATAATTAAAAATTTATATAAATGTGATGTATAAAACTTGTATAAAAATAAATTACTTCTCTAAAAAAAATGTGAGACTATTGAAAAACCTATTAACTTGTATATGATTATAATGTCACGTGATATTATAAATTTATAATGAGATGTATTGTTATATAATTAACTTTTTTTTATTCAAGTAACATGTTATATATCCACTCAATTAATACTACATCATATTTAATTTAATACTATATAGAATTATAAGTTTATAATTTTATATAATATTATAATAAAACATTGTGAATTTGCACATAGGTCAGAAATTTCTTTGGTAGATATATATGAACTCCACGAGTTTAAAATAGACATGACTATGGGTCACACAAATTAATATTAAAGTCTGATAAAAGTATTATAACTATATTTGATTTAATTGATTTTATTAATTTATAATTAATTAAAGTGATTAAAAATATCAATTGTATAAGCTAATTTCTATCTATCATATTGAATATAACTATCTAATATTTTTGTCTGACTTAAATTTTTTTTTTTGTATTAACATAACATGCCCTCTTAAAATTACTAGATTCCTAAGAAATTTTTTTCTTCTCTTTCTACTCTAGAATCCTTATGCTTCTTACTAAATCTTCTCAAAGTTTTAGTTTTTTTTGGTGCTTGAAAGCCCTCTAGCTTCTCAAGCATGGTGAAGCCGGCCTTTAGTGCTCCTTTGTTCGTTGATCACCCTAAGTGATCTATTGATTCTTTTGTGACCCCTTCTGACGGTCTTTTTTTTTTTTTTCCTTTATTGTTCCTCATTTTTTTGTTTATTTCGTTCAGATTAGATGGCCGACAAGAAAATAAAACAGAAATTAAGGGTTAGTCATTACTTACTTTAATCTTCTTGTCACGGCATTTTAAAGAGTGGGTTTATCTATTTCAAAAAGTAGATTGAAAGATATCTAATTTTTTAAAACATTCAATCAAAGAAATTTATAAAATTAAATTTTTTAAAGATTGTTTATGTAATTATTCATTATCCTTCTTTATTTATTTCTTGTTAAACTTGATTTACTTTTGATTATTATCTCTAGTTGTGTTTTCTTTGTTTCATCATTTGTTTTTATCGGTAAGATAAATTTTTTTTTATGTAAATCCTTTATGACTTAATTTAATTATACTAAGTCCAGCTGAGTTCAAAAAACATCACTGGATTCCTATGTGCCCTGCGCAGCAGGTATTGGTAAAGAAGACATCCCTCACCACGCAATTTCACTCTCCGTACAAGATATTTTATTTATTTATTTTAATTTTTTTATCTTAATTAAATAATAAAAAATAATTATTTTTCTTCTTTTATTTTATAATTTATCTTACTCAATCTGTATATTATGTAAGTCAAAGTTAAGATTTCTTATTTTTAATAAAATTTCAACGAAAAAAGATAATCTTTTATTTATTTAGGCAGTTCGCTATTTAATTTAATTTTTAGTTTTAAATAAAAAAAATATTTTTTAAATCTACTTGGCAGTCCGAACTCCGAAGTAATAGTGTGTTTGGTAAAAAAGAGAAAAGGAAAAAAAATTATTTAATGAATTATAATATTTTTAAATATAATAATGTAATTAAATTAAAATTTCACTTGCACTTTATTTGGTTAGAAGAAATTGAAGAGAAAGGAGAGAAGAGTGTGGGGGAAGAGAGCATTTTTCTTTATTTAGATAAACAATTTTAATAAAGAGAAAAGAGATAAAGAGACACGAAGCCTTCTTTCTTCTTCTGTCTTTCATCTTTTGTATTTAGAGGAATTAAAATGGATTATATTA